TTCGGGTTGTCAGAAAGTTGGTTGAATCAAACATTCCTCACAGTCTTAACCCAATTCATGTTATAGAAATAATTAATGACAAATATTTTAAACCAACAAACGAGATATTAAAAAGTTCATTTTATAATTTCACATAACTGTTAGTTAAGTTACAACGTAAATCTTGAATATCCAACTAGTGACTCTACCAGTCAAAATATAATTGTAAAGTTTTTCTATGAAAATTATAACTATTTGAACTGTTTTATTGAGGTTTTGCTATTTTGTTTGTATGATTAAACGCTTATATATATATATATATATACCTTTATCAATGAAAAATATAAATATCGAGCTTTAATGACAAAGCTGTCTGTTTTAACAAAATAACCTTAAATCTTGATATCCATGGTGATCATTCTATAGCAAGTTGTTGAAAGACTTACGTAACTTGGTTTCATGGTGATCATTCTACAGCAATATGTTGAAAGATATATAACTTGGTATCCATGGTGATCATTCTAAAGACAGGTGTTGAAGGAGTTACGTAATTTGGTATCCATGGTGATCATTTTACAGCCATATTTGAAGGAGCTACGTAACTTGGTATCCATGGTGATCATTCTACAGCAAGGTGTTGAAGGAGTTGTTTAACTTAGTCACAAGACGCCAGTAGGGAGTATTATATAAAGTTTTGCTTATACAAATGTTAAATTCTTAAAGAACGTTAAACCTATGACAGTAAATGAAACAAACAACTAGTGGTTTATGTGTTACGTCGGTAATTTATATCCTTTCTTTAATGTTACTTTCATTAACAGTATTCGTAAGAATGATTAATATATCTAATTTTATTATCATACTTTCTTGTAGGGATTATTTTGCATTGTCAGCTTAGTATGTGAATTTAGAACTAACATCAATCTCCTAAGATGACCGAACCTCTTCAGATATTACTAGGTCTGCAACCGAAAATATCGTTAACAGCGAGGGTACTCATCTGATGAAACAATACAATCTAATCTTTATAAGTAACAACGTAAAAACAGCATATTTAATTAGTTATACACATTGTTGCGTTGATTTTTAGGTTTGATCTAAGGACGTAGCTTTCTTTGACCGAAAATTGATATTAAATATTTGTTTGTTGCAACATAAGAACTTCAGATCATGACATCTGTGGTGATCATGCAACAGTCACATATTGAAAGTTACGTAATTGTTGCAGCATAAAAACTTCAAATCACGATATCTGTGGTGATCATACAACAGTCACATATTAAAAGTTAGGTAACTATTATACTTGCATGTTGCAACATAAGAATTTCAGATTACGATATCTGTGGTGATCACACAACAGTCACATATTAAAAGTTAGGTAACTATTATACTTGCATGTTGCAACATAAGAACTTCAGATTACGATATCTGTGGTGATCACACAACAGTCACATATTAAAAGTTAGGTAACTATTATACTTGTTTGTTGCAATACAATAACTTCAGATCACGATAACTGTGGTGATCTTACAACAGTCACATATTAAAACAGTTACACAGCTATTATACTTGTTTGTTGCAACGTAGGAATTGCAGTTCACGATAACTGTGGTGATCATAGAACAGTCAGGTGTTAAAACAGTTACGTAACCAGCAGTTTTGAATATTTTATCATGAACATCTCAACTCACGATATCTACTTGTAGCTATTATATTCATATTTATTCCGTCTTTAAGGTAGCTAAGTGGAAACATTTAAGAATGTGGACTTTTAGAACTTCTGGAAGCAAAAACTTTGGACTTGTTACACAAGTCCTCTGATATGAGGTTTCTATTTGATATATTAATTACAAAAGCTTTACTCTTTATATAGAACAACGAAACTATTCGTTCAAGATACTGTATCTGTTTTAAATTAATGAAATGTTTTTACTTCTCCGCAATTTCTGTTGTTAAACGTTTCCAATAATTGTGTTAGTTACTTCTTTTCCACGTCAGTTAATTAAGCGCAATAACTCACAGTTTGTTAATGTAAAAAAAAAAAAGACAGTAATTTAGTAGACTTCAAAGATTGTGTCTATATCGTACTTGTAAAAATACGCAATGAAGAGGCTAAAAAACATGTTTTTACCAATGGCTTTTTCATTTTCCTATTGGTTTTCTATATGCACCAAACGCACGAGTTAAGTAAGGCTATGATTCAGTTTTGTTGGGAATGGTATATTTCCATCCAATAATTTATTTTGGATTTATCCTGCCAGTCAGACTTCTCAAATGCTATCTGTATTTTGACGGTGTCACTGTTTCATTGTCCTACCACCACTGCTATTTTTTCAGCGTGTTTATATGTTTTTGTTATTTTCTTTACATAACTGATTTAAATGAAATTGCTTTACATGTGCAAACACGAAGGACTTGTCTACTCCAGTTACGCAGCTACACGCTTAACACTACTAAATTTCATTACTTTCAACATAACCAGCGCTTTTGGAGTAGGAAGTATAGAAGAAGAAGAAGAGAAAAAGAACAAACCAGGCTAAAATAAGTAACTATTTGTATTAAAAGGAAATCTTTGGTAATTCCAAGCCCAACTTTTAGACGCATCCATGAAGCGCCTCCACACAAAATGATGCCTGTCACTTTTCGAGTCATCATTCTAACGCAAGGTCAAGCAGTGATAGAGCATGAAACAGAAAATCCGTTTAACAACCTATCTGATGTATAATGCTAAAAACCTAAACTAGATGACATAGAAAGTGTGACGTGTTGAAGACTCATTCCGCGCTGTAAATATCGACATAATTGGATGACGAGGATAACAGTTCGTAACTGGTGTACAAGAAAGGCATGAAGGTCATTCTGGCGTCATCTCCATTTTATGGTATAATAACTTAATGGAAACATTGTAATGAGCTCATCATTTCCTAGTGTAGAGATTACTTGAAGCAATGAGAAAATTGTATGTGTTGTTGTTGTTTTTAACTAATACGTGAAGAAAATTAACATTTCTGTAAATTTATGTTGTGTCTCAGATACAAGTTAAAAAAACAAGGCAATTTTTATGAAATGAGCAAAATGACTTCTGTTGATGATAAAAGTTCGTAGGAATGATGAATTAATAATATAAGCTATGTAAGTGAAGCATAAGCGCTTTTTGGAGTTCAAGTTATCATAAAAAGTCAGTTAATAATTTGCAGAGTATAGTGATGGACTAATTCCCTCCCCCTTTTAATATCATTTGTGAAAGAAGCTGAAGAGGGGGGAGGGCGCTGTAACTTTTAAACCGCTATTTTTTGCGTGACTTTATCTTAAGTGTATTCGATCTTTTTGAAATGAAATGTGGGTGGAGAATATGCGAGAGTATAGAGAAATGAGCTATACTTTTAGCAGTAGCTCTACAACTTTCTGAGCTTTGTTGATGTTTAGAAATATTTCCAAGTCCTCAACTGTCTATTATTCCCTTTCTTTTGTCCACTTCCATTCAAAGGAATAATTCAGCCGCTCAAATTGCCTTTGTTTCTGTTTAACCTATAAGCGACTTGGTCCTGGTATTAAAGTGACTTGGAACTAATAATTACTTTATCAAAACTTCGTCTAATTCTACAGTTAAAAAATACAATGTTGGAGCTGCAGAAAAGTTTAAGTTAACTGATGATATATACAATTTAGTGTTTGTTTATTTTTACAAGCAACATTTGAGTATAAAAGACGAAAACTTTGGTTTCTCATTTCTATTGTTGTATGTATTTTTCAGTTTCTATATTTGTATTGTTGCATTTAGTTTTCAGTTTTTATATCTAAATTGTTGCATGTAGTTTCCAGGTTCCGTATTTATACTTTCCTATCTATAAATGCAGTTTTAGGTTCCATGTTTATATTGTTCTATACATGAATGCCGTTTCAAGTTCCATATATTCTTCTATGCACGCATGCAGTTTTTAGGTTCCCTGTTTATATTGTTCTATACATGCGTACAGTTTCCAGGTTCTGTTCTGTTTTGTACTGTTCTCTCTCTCTCTACGCCCCCCAGTGGCACAGCGGTATT